TTTATTGTCTATTGTTTATATAATTCGGCCAACATGCGTCAAGTTTTTTTTATACGAATGGATCGCAAACTAACTGATGGTTAGAAAATGGGTTAACGTTAACGTTTTTTCCAGACAAAATCTGTAGAAATATAAGTATTCAATTTTTTTAATATATAGAATATTTTTATACAATTATCTATACACAAATAATATTGGAGTGTCTGTATGTAATATTGAAATAATAGTTTTTTACTACATGCATATGAATATAAATACGGTACATACACCAAAATAACATTTTATAAAATTTCTGTCAGTTAGATAGTTCCGGCTAATCTTTGAAATGGCTGGACCGATTTTGACGGGACTTTGTCTGGCAGATAGCTGATGTAAAAATAACGACACACCAATGAAATAAAAACCGTTCTCGAGCAATGATGGCATGTGGTAGGAACATACCTGTGTAATGTATATCCAGAGATGTAAGAATAAGGAGTAACTTAAGCTACTTCTTCTCCGATCCCCCGTCAAATTCAACAGAGATCGATGTTACGACGACCTAAGCCGAGGTTCGAATCCCTAGTGGTGCCCTCAGACTAAAGTCGTATCCGCCAGGCGAGAGTTGGCTTTCAAACGCTCCATAAGTCCTTCCGCGGGTTTGGAGCGCCATCTGCATTCGCCCCCTATCGTCCGGTGAAGCTGTAAAGGCCAGCTGCGGCCAACGGCATTAGAGTAGTCCGAAAAAAAAAATTAGGCTACTTTTATTTTAGAAGAATAAAGTTAAATTCCACGCAGACGCAGTCGCGGTTACAGCTAGTATTATATGTAACATATTTATATCTTTTTCGATGTATACACAAATCGTATCCTTAGTCGTATCGACTGGATATATAAATAGTAATGCCATTATTGCGTGGCATTTGAGAAGCAGATTTGCGTGTTTCGATACACTAAATCTTTCCTCTTGTATACATGATATTGTTCTTCATGCTTACGAAAAACAATATAAAATCGACACTAACAATGTTGTTATCTAATACAAATAAGATGCAGTATAAAAACTCTTTGTTATTATCTTAGAACATTTTTTTTATACCACGTAGGTGGCCACCATGCATACGGCCCATTTGATGGAAAACCGTAGCCTATGGACGGCTGAAACCCTTAAGAAACCTTCTTGAAAACCCTATGCTGTAGTCTCTCGAGAAAACGTAGGCAGGTAGTTCATTTCATAATCTATGTAAGTGACGCTCCTATACAAATTGAATAGAATAAAAAAAACTTTATTAAAAAAAACTTAAATTTAAACACTATTGAATTAGACACACTTATTTTTTTATCTACCGCTCATTCGCTTATACAGACAATTTCAAAAGAGTTAGTGATTACACTAATAAAAGCTTACGTAACAATAACAAACTGATTTTACCTAAATGTCGTTTGGCTAAAGTTAGTAATTCGTTTTATTTGACATTTAAATCTTTTTTCTGGCAGATTTATAACAGACTCTGGTATAAAACACTTCCTTTGGAAAAAAGCTTACTATAAAATTAATGAATTTGTTAAAGATAATAATGGTTTTATAGAAAAACTTAAAATTCATAGCGCTGACAATATTATCTGATCACGCTAATAATGAGTGTGTAGCGGTTTCTATGTTGATTATCGCATACCTCTTACTTGTTATACTGTAATAATTTATATAAATAAAATCTATTCAAAAGAGCAACACACAAGTTTCTTGCTCATTCTTCTTGTGATGAATCTGCATTCCGAATGAGTGGTAGAATCAAAATGTGACTATTCAAAAGTGCTTCTAATGAGTTTATTTGAATAAAGATTATTTCTATTTCTATTTCTATTCGGAAAACTGTCTTATCACGTTGAAGAACAAGAAACTTGCGTTGCTCTTTTAAATATTAGGTCCATACCATACGAAAATATAGATAGATACCATAGGTTTTAAATATTAGGTAACATACGAAATTGGCGTTTTGTAAGGGTTTTGTAACCTCAAATCGATTTTGTCAAAATATAATATATTTATTGAATCAAAGTATGTACCATTGCTATTTATGCACTTTTGCCATTCATAGGTAGTTCATTAATCCATTTACTAAAATAAACTATTCGGACGGGAATTAATAAAATTTCTTTGAAGACGCTTTGGACTGTCCCATCGGAGTTGAATTTTTTCCCTTGCAAGAAGTTATCCATATATCGAAAAAAATGGTAGTCTGTTGGAGCATGGCCCTGGGAGTACGGTGGATGTCTTAGACATTCCAATTGAAGTTCCTCTAATGTGATAACTGTCTTTTGTGCAGTGTGTGGCCTAGCGTTGTCCTGAAGCAGCAGTGGCCTACGGCGATTGAACAGCCTCGGTTGTTTAGCAATTAGCTTTTCCATCATGGTTTGCATTTGCTGATAATACACATCTGCCGTAATCGTCTGACTAGATTTAAGAAAGCTGAAGTGAACAACACCGGCACTAGTCCACCAAATGCTCACAAGTAACTTTTGAGTCAATTTTCGCTCGGGGCAGGATTTGGTTGGTTGACCAGGGTTCAGCCAATGCGATGAATGTTTCCGATTATCGTACAAGATCAACTTTTCATCACCGGTAATGATTAAATTTAAAATCCCTTTAATATTACATATGCCGGTTGACTAATGTAACGCAGCGGTCTACGCGCGTTTCTCGATTTGCTCTACACAATTCATGAGGAACTCACCTTTTAAGTTTTTTCACATTCCCAATTAAAACAGCTTAAAGTGGATTTAAACAGTTTTCTGACTAACACCGCAGCCTGCAGCTAACTCGGACTTAGTTTGCGATTAATCCGCTTCCATAATAGCCTTCAATTCTTCATTATCAACCTTGGACTCCGGCCGCCCACTGGGCTTGTTTTGCGGGTCGAAATTTCTAGAATGAAAACATTGGAACCAAAATGCAATGTGTTTTCTTTTGCGACACCACCGTCATACATGTCATTAATCTGAAAACAAAACACCATACTCCTCCGAAACGGCTTGACAGCTTTTTAGGAAATTTTATATACAAATTCAATAGGTCTGAGAATCGGCTACTACTTATTTTTCATACCCCTAAGTGACAAGAGTTATCCACCTTTATTTAAATCTTTTATTTTTATGTGGCATTAAAAATCGAAAAGATTTAATTTATAACGCAAAACTACGTTTGCAGAGTCAGCTAGTATAAATATATATACACAATATATAAACATACATATATATAGAAAAAGATAAACATGTTTATCTTGTTGTATTGCCGCGTCAACACCAATAAAGTGAGTTATTGAAACAACTCGTGTTATTGATTGTGTTGCCAATTGTTTCGGGCTTTACCAATAATCTGTCTGTCAATTGGCTTATAGCAATATGTATATAAATATAACAAGATGTATATACGTTTGTTTGTACACCCGAAATACGAATTTCAAGTAAAATTAGATCAATACGTCATTATTACATACTATTTCTACCCGAGGAATTACAGACAGCGTAATCGGAAGTTTCGGAGATCTTTGATTGGTCGTGTAAATTTGAAGTAGGTAATAATTCGAAGCGTTTCTTTCAAGCATTAACTTTGAGCGATACTGAAATACGAATTTCAAGTGAAATTAAATCAAGACGTCATTACTCATATACATCTGTTACAGACGCTTGGTCAAATCTACAGTCATTTCTGTCCATTTCAATTTTATTCAAGTACATCTTTTTTATTGTATTAGGTATAAGTTCATTACTGATTTATATTACTTTATTTAATTCTGCTAATATTAAAATCCTCGTACATATATTACATATTAACGGCTTCGGTGATCTAGTGGATTAGCATAACTCCTTACTTCCGATGGTTGCGGATTCGATTCCTCGCACGGTACAAATATTTGTATTCATGAGTATGATTGTTTATATCGGTCTGGGTATTTTTTATTGTATATTATTTTTTATTGTATTTGTATCAGTTGTCTGTAAACCATAACACAAGCTTTAACTAGCTTAACTTGGGTCTAGATGGCGCTGTGTGAGTTATAATAAAATTATTGTTATTATTAGCATATGGAAGACCACAAATATTCTGTACGGAAACTTAACTACGGGAAACATCACGACCTTCTCAATTGTTGATCAAATTCCAACTATAATTGAGTTATAGATATTGCGACATGCGTTTCGCCTCTAAACTAGGCATCATTAGGCATTGAATAGAGTTTGGATATAGCTTGTTAGCCTACCGTTGACTGTCCAGCGACCAAACTGCGAATGAGTTGTATACAAGACCTTTAAACTAATCTTTGTAATCTTTTAATTATAAATCTTTTAAAAGATTTATCATCTTAGTTATTGTTCTTAGGACAAAAAAAAATGCGCACACTCTCGACGGTCGCGGTGGTTTAGCCATTGGGAACACCGCTTTACAACCGACGGTGGATTCGATTCCTCACAAGGTGATCTGAGTGTTTTCTATGTATATTATTTATTTATTTAATGGATGTTTTTGAATTGGTACACCCGCCTGCGCTAACGGTTTACGCTGGCAGGGCACTAATGGAGGTGAGGTCAGTTGGCGCACCTGGAAACCATTGTGAATAAATTCACTAGGAATTTATCAAGATGATGGTGGAATAGAATAGAATAGAATAGAAAATCATTTATTCAAATAAATTTAATTTAAGCACTTTTGAATAGTCAACATTTTTTTAAATTTACCGCTTATTCGGAAAGCTGTCTCATCACAAGAAGAATAAGTAAGAAACTTGTGTGTTGCTCTTTTAAACAATCCTTGTAAGTTCACATTTGACAAGTCGAAACGTGTGAATACAAACTACCAATCAGGAACTGAGTGGAGGTCACTTGATTGCTAGTGATGGAGTATTTATGCTAGTTCACATTATTAACAATCTCTTCCCTTCTATATATATTATTCCTATCATCCAAACTAACAAACTTTACCTCTTTATAATATTAGTATAGATATACATTTTTCTTTCTAGAAAGTACATTCGGCATACGGCACGTGATAACATTCCTCCTGTTCCTGGCTATCACGGTGTCTTACGCGACCCGGGTCAGCATGAGCGTCGCAATCGTCGCGATGACAAGCCCGAATGATTACGGATATCCGGTAAGTTGCAAACCTAATCGATTATAATTATCACCATCATCACCATCATCATCATCAACATCATCATCATCATTGTCATCGACAATAACAACAGCCCACTGTAGTCCTCTGCTGGATATAGGCGTTCTTCTAGATCATTTTCATGTTGCATTATTCTTTGACTTCTACAATACAGGCATAGCATAGTGTGGAGTCATTGATAAAATATTACTTAAATTAAGTTTTCCGAAATAATAAATTTATTCATTATTAATAATATTATTTTTATTTCTGCTAATAAACAGATATAACCACCTAAATAAAAATATAGAATCTTTGAAATCTTTTAAAGCGTACAGATGCAAATGTCTTAAGATTTGCTTTAAAACGACGACCGGTACTAACTACACGTGTAAATGTTAGGGGAAACCTAAATTATCTTGAAAATATGTTCAAACACATTTCAGAGATATGTAAATACTGATCAACTTATTAAATAAGAATAAAGCAAAGGAAATAGAAATAGGTATGGAAATAATCTTCATTCAAATAAACTTAATATAAGCAGTTACGAATTAAAATTTTTTTCACAAAGGAAAATATAAATTACGGATTTTTAAATTATTGTAGAACACACAAATGTATTTTTATTAACAAAGAGTCATATAACCATCTAAGCAAAAATATAGAATCTTTTAAAGCATACAAAGTTGTGTTTTCTAACAAACAGTACTACTACCTTAACAGATGTCTCACGATTTGTGAGTTCTACAACCATCTAAGCAAAAATATAGAAATTTTAAAATCTTTTAAAACGTACAAAGTTGTGTTTCCTAACAAACAGTGTTATACTACCTATAGCAAATATCTCAAGATTTCCTTTGAAACGACGACCGGTGCTAACATCACGTGTAAATGTCAGGGGAAACCTAAATGCGGTAGTTAGATACGTGCACCGTGTTGGAACGCTGTTAACGACTCCTAAATGTCCTGACGAAATCCTGCTAGCAGCAAACCATTTCCACCTGAGGAATTACAGTCAGCGTGTTCAGGAGTTTCGGAGATCTTTGACGGTCGTGTAAATTTGAAGTGCGCAATAATTCGAAGCGATTCTTTTAAGCGTTGACTTTGAGGGTCCCAAAATGATAATAGTTTGAGTTTGTTGTTGAAAATTAAGGGAGCAACCCTTAATTTTTTTTTAAATTAATTTTAGTAAATATCGTATGCAATTGTTGTAGATAAATAGATTTCGTAAAGCGTGATCGTCTCTCATCACGTTATTTCTACATCGAAAAAATTAAAATTATAACAATTGAGAAATAGAAATAATCTTTATTCAAATAAACTCATTACAAGCACTTTTGAATAGTCATATTTTGATTCTACCACTCATTCGGAACGCAGATTCATTACAAGAAGAATGAGCAAGAAACTTGTGTGTTGCTCTTTTGAATAGATGTTTTTTATATAAATAATTACAGTAGGTATAACAAGTAAGAGGCATGCGATAATCAACATAGAAATCGCTACGCACTCATTATTAGTGTAATCATATAATATTGTCAGTGCTATGGATTTTAAGTTTTTCTATAAAAACATTATTGTCGTTAACGAATTCTTAAAATTTGCAGTAAGCTTGTTTGCAAAGGAAGTGTTCTATATGACATTTAAATCTTTTTTAAGGAAAATTTATCAGAAAAAATAATACCTATTAAACAAAATAAATAATCAATAACTATCCACAAAACGAACAGTCAATCTGTCAGAATTATAGCCGTAGGTACAGTCGAATGCCAAAATGAAACATTTTATGATGACCTTTGCATGTAGACGAAAATCGTCATCAAATCAACTGATGATTTCGCCACTTTTGCATGTAATCTTTTATCAATAACCCTACCGTCCAGTACATTATACATTATACAGTTCAGTATATTATCGACATCCTATTTATGATTATTGTCTATCTTCTGGGTCTTGTTGATATAATCCAATAACAATATAAATTCTTACGTTAATTAATTTAGAACCCTAAGTGTGATGTGAGACTAACATTTTATCGTTTTTTAGCGTATTTGACAACTCAATATTGCGTCAACGATATTTTCTAAGCAAGCAGCCCTGGAGCGTTCTGTCAATATACTGTAATTGGTTTCGCATTTGAAATGGTTTAATGGAGAACCCTTAGATTTAACTTTTTGCTGTCTTACGACTATAACCTCTTATAGGGTAGCCAGATCAGGTTAAATATTGTTAACTGTCGATCTGAAAATTTAATTGTACACATGTTTGAATTCAACATAGACGTTGTCTCTTTTGTAGCTGCCTTCTAGTGGTTCAGTACTCTCGCTCCCTTATTTAGAATAGTTCCGGGTTCGATTCCTCACATGGTGCAAACATTTGTATACTTGAGTATGATTGTTCGTGTTGGTCTGGGTGTTTTCTATGTAGTCGCTCCTCGATCGCTACCGGGCCGGGGTGATGACCGCGGGGGCGGTCCTACCCCACCACAAAAGGTGATCTATGTATATTATGTATGTATTTACAAAAAATGTTGTTAAGTATTTATATCCGTTGTTTAGTCCCTATAACACAAGCTCATTAATTTTTACGACTATAACCTCATAGGGGGTAGCCAGATCAGGTTAAATTTTATTAACGCTTTGTACTTGAGATTTTAAATGTACCTACACATGTTTGAGTTCAACATGTACATTGTTTCTTTGACACTGTCTAATTTTCGATAGTAGTTTCATCATCATCTATGATGATAGATCTCGTCACCACTATTATACCTGGCTAAGGAGTGGTATTACAGAGTACAGAGGTATAATAATCTTAGTCCTCAAGGCATGATTGTTCGTTTTGGTCTGGATGTTTTCTATATATATTATGTATGTTTTTACAAAAAATGTAGTTAAGTATTTGTATTGATCGTGCTCAGCTTGGGACTAGATATCACCGTAGGAATTTTTCATTCTTATTTTTATTAACCGATACGATATTGAAACCTTCAAGAAAAGAGCTTATTCCTTTTTAAAAAGCCGACAACGTACTTGCAGTGCCCTGGTGTTGCGGGTGCTCATGGGCGGAGGTAATCACTTACCATCAGATGAGCCGCATGCTAGATTGTGCGCTGTGTTATAAAAAGAAAAATTATTGTACATACATAGGAAAAAAAAAACAGTGATACAATAAATGTAACGTACAAATGCGAGATTATCTCTAAAACGAGATTATTTATCTACCTCTTTATTTCTTGCGTCATAACTCGAGAACGAGTGTTTTCATTCGAATTGTTTTTTTTTTAATTAAGGTACGATAAGAACGTAATTAGAAAAATTTTGAGAAAACTTATCGATTATGTATTTTAATAAGACTAAATAAGACCAAGACAGGACAGCAGTTACGGGGTCAACTGGTACATTATAAATAATGTAAATACTAACATACTGACATTAAAGTTGATTACTCAAAAACATTTTTTTGTAAAATAAACTCTAATATTGAAACTTTAAAGTCGATTTCCAAAAAGTATGGTTTTAGAGTTAATGCAGTTTGTTATTGAGCGTATTGTGAAAGCTGGTTTATAATTATGTTTGATTTTAAAACCAAAACCAATATTAATATGGTTGAAAATGTATTACATTGAAGACAAATATTACGGAAAATGGACGGCAAAATGATTATATGTTTAACTAACTACTCGCCCCGGCTTCGCACGGATGTCAATGTATTATATACTAGATGTACCCGCGACTTCGTCGGCGTAAATAATGAAAAAATATTTAATTACCTAACCAAATAAAAGCTAAATAAAAAAGCTTCATCGTTGTAGCTTCAAAAATGACGATACAAAATTCAGTACCTGAATTCAATCACAAGCCTAAAAAATAAATTTCAAGCTTCTAGTTTTAAAAATGATGATACATCCATACAACTTTGTACCTACATTTTCAACCCCCTTACAACCCTTTTTCACATTAAAAAGTAACCTACATCCTTTCTCAGGATGTAGTCTATCTGTATTCCAAATTTCATTTAAATCGGTTCAGTAGTTTTTATGTGGAAGCGAGACAGACAGACAGATAGACAGAGTTACTTTCGCATTTATAATATTAGTAATGATAAGGATATAAACCTTCCTCTTGAATCACTCTATCTATTAAAAAAAAACGGCTTCAAAATCCGTTGCGTAATTTTAAAGATTTAAGCATACATAGGGACAGACAGCGACAGTGACTTTGTTTTATACTATGTAACGATTTCAGGTTTTCGATTGGGAGAAAAGCATACAGGACACGATCCTCTCATCCTTCTTCTGGGGTTACGTGGTGCTGCAGATCCCTGCTGGTATGCTGGCGGGTCGATTTGGTGGCAACTTCCTGATCCTCGGTGGTATGGTGTGCACAGGAATTGTGAATTTGCTGGTACCTATCGCTGCAGTGCATGTGAGTATGCCTAAGATCTCATTATTACAATTATTACTAAGATCTCATAATCTTATATATAAAATTCTCGTGTCACAGTTTTCGTTCCCATACTCCTCCGAAACGGCTTGACCGATTCTCATGAAATTTTGTGAGCGTATTGAGTAGGTCTGAAAATCGGCCAACATCTATTTTTCATTTCCCTAAATGTTAGGGGTAGTCCACCCCTATTTTTTTTTTATTTTAAGGCAAAACAACGTTTGCCTGGACAGCTAGTTTCTTATAATACTATATTATATATAGATGTAATATAGGATATCCTAAAATGTATAATGGTAGGCCACGTGGACAAAAGAATGTGACAGACGAATTGATGACGGCAGAATTTGAAAACATGTTTCATATCAAACAGTAATACTATGTTTATATATATAACTCAAAGGTGACTGGCATAGTGATCTATCAACGCACAGCCCAAACCACTGGACGGATCGGGCTGAAATTTGGCATGCAAATAGATGTTATGACGTAGGCATCCGCTAAGAAAGGATTGTGATTAATTCTACCCCCAAGTGGATAAAATAGGGGATGAAAGTTTGTATGAAACTTTGTCAATTTTAAACCGATCGGGCTGAGACTTTGCATGCATAAAGCTACTATGATGTAGGCATCTTCTAAGAAAGGATTTTGATAAAAACCACCCCTAAGGGGATAAACTAACGCGAGCGAAGCCGCGGGCAAAAGCTAGTATATTATAGATTTGAAACATGTATTAATACATAGATAAATAAACTTAATGGAAGCACTTTTCAATAGTCACATTTTTTCGATTATACCTCTCATTTATTATTTATTTTATTTTATTTACTCATTTTCCTTCAGACTCATCAGAAGGAGAATGAGCGAGTTTGCGCGTTGCTCTTTTAAATAATTGTTGTTCAGAATTAATTCAGACTAAAGTCATAGTAAATATCCGTCAGGCGGGAGTTGGCCTTCAGCCGCTCCATAAGTCCTTCCGCGGGTTTGGAGTGCCATCTGCACTCGCCCCCTATCGTCCGGTGAAGCTGTAAAGGCCAGCTGCGGCCAACAGCATTAGAGTAGCCCGAAAAAATACATTTTTATTGTTATGTGAATACAAACAGCCAAATAGCAAAATTGACATATGTAAATACTTGCGTAACGAAACAAATAAAAAGTTATCAGATCAGAGCAGTCCCAACAAGCAGCATTTCAAGCAAATAAAGATTGCTCATTCTCATTCATAGAAACAAGTACTTCCGCCTCATGAAAACGAATAGATATAGCGCAAACGTTTCGAAAATATAGTAAATCACTAAAAGATATTGAGGTAGTGAATAATAAAAACATTCTATTTGGTATTATCATGGGAAATACGTCCCAGCGCCGCCGCCGGCGATTGAAACAAAGTACTGTAATTTGTTTAAACGGCTCGTTAAGGAAGATGACATGGAAAAGACAAACATTCTTTTTTTATGTTGGATAAATAAAATAGTTTGAAGTGTACTGAATATTTTATCATCGGCGTTAGCTTGTGTCCAATAGAAATAGAAATCGAAATAGATAGGGATAGGGATAGGGATAGGGATAGGGATAGGGATAGGGATAGGGATAGGGATAGGGATAGGGATAGGGATAGGGATAGGGATAGGGATAGGGATAGGGATAGGGATAGGGATAGGGATAGGGATAGTGATATGGATAGGGATAGGGATAGGGATAGGGATGGTGATAGGGATAGAAAATCATTTATTCAAATAAACTTACATTGAAGCACTTTGAATAGTCATCACATTTTTTTTTAATCTACCGCTCCTTCGGAATGCCGTCTCATCACAAGAAGAATAAGCAAGAAACTTGTGTGTTGCTCTTTTAAATAATTTATTCTTACTTACAATTTAAGTTTAAGTGTGTGAATACAAACTGCCGTTTAGCACTAATTCAATGAAATAATAAAATAAAATATATTTATAATACAATCCAATTCAAAATTTGCATTTATAAATGATGTCCAATAGAAAAACAAAATGTATATATAATACAATACAATTTAAATTAGAATTTAAAAATGTATCTGTGTTATTGTAAACGTGTACAACATTTATTTGAAAAGAATACGAACTGAGTTTCTTGTCAGTTCTTCTCATGTCGAAATCATTTCGAACTAACGGTAGAATATATATTAGTAACATAAGAGTCTGTAATAGACCTACATGAATAAAGATATTTCGAATTGGAATACAAATATAACTTTTTTTATTGGGTTGTTTGGGATATTGTCAGATGTTTGTAGCACCTGTAGCACTGCGACCTACATAGATCTATTGTGCTCGCCCTTTTTCAGAGTTCGCTACCTAGACCCGTCAGGTACAAGAATTGAAGGATATTCTTAGGAGCGATGGTTTTTATCTCCTCGGGAAAGAGTGTAAACTTTCCAAAGGAGATATTTCGTTTATGCATCAGTGGGCTATAACCAAGATGTGTAGTGGCGTTTCCTCTTCAGTTTGGCAGAATCTGCAGATATTTGTCGTGCATAGGCCTAGTTTAGCCATACGCTTGTTTAATTTACAGTATATAAATATAACTTACTCTCTGGCTCGTCGCCACTTTGTTGCAAATGTAACAAACAAACAACAAATAATGTTTCAACAATTTTATTAATATTACTTAATGGCTTTTATTTTGTTTATTTCCTCTACAATTAGCACGTGTGAGACCACAAATATTCAGTGTGGAAACTTGACTACCGTTACGACCTTCTGTAATAGTGATCAAATTCCGACCGTCATTGAGTCTACACCCATATCGCGACACGTGTTTCGCCTCTGAACGAGGCATCATCAGGCGTTGAATGGAGTTCGGGTTCAGCTCGGAAGCCTAGTGTTGTTTAATAATACAAAACAATAATTAACGATAATAATCTTTTTATAGAAAAACTTTAAATCCATAGCACTCACAATATTATCTAATTACACTAATAATGAGTGCGTAGCGTAGTAAGAGGCATGCGATAATCAACATAGAAATCGCTACGCACTCATTATTAGTGTAATTATTTATATAAAAAAAACATCTATTAAAAAGAGCAACACACAAGTTTCTTGCTCATTCTTCTTGTGATGAATCTGCATTCCGAATGAGTGGTAGAATCAAAATATGGCTATTCAAAAGTGCTCGTAATGAGTTTATTTGAATAAAGATTATTTCTATTTCTAATATAAAACCATCACGTAGTGAACTTCCGCAAAATAACAACTAATTCGATTAAAATTGTATTAATCATAGCAACCATGCAAACTGTATTTATATAATAATAATCTCAGGACAATTCACACAGCGCCATCTAGACCCAAGTTAAGATAGCTAAAGCTTGTGTTACGGGTACTAGACAACTGATACAAATACGTAGATATTTTTTTCGTAAATACATACATATTATACGTAGAAAATACCCAGACCGATACAAACAATCATACTCACGAATACAAATGTTTGTTCCGTGCGAGGAATCGAACCCGCGACCATCGGACGTAAAGCGGTGTGCCAAACCGCTAGACCACTGAGGTCGTCATGGAAATTAACTTACGTGTTTTTTCACTTTATCTAGCGACATATTCGTCTTTTAGAATAAGCATAGATCACAATGTTCTCCAATATTAATGCTTGCGAATATTTCTAGGAATGTGCTAGTAAAAAGAATAATTAAAAAAAAATGTGTACACAAAAAAAAATGGCATCCGAAATGGAATATCAGCTCCTCAGTCCCTTCAGGCGAAATCTTGAAGACGAATTACACGAATCCCACATTCGGAATCTTTATTACTGGCCCCATTTCTCAGGCAGCATCGTTTATAGATAGGCCATTGCAATTTGTGGATTTTACTACTCAGATTATATTTTTAAGTCGCAATTTAGATAACATTATCTAACAACTTTACTAGCCGTTTTCCGTGACTTCATCCAGTTTATTTGAGGTTATGAATAATTTTTGTACTCATCTATACATAGAATAAAATAGAAAGTAATTTATTCAAATAAACTTACATTGAAGCACTTGAATAGTCATTACATTTTTTTAATCTACCGCTCATTCGGAAAGCTGTCTCATCACAAGAAGAACGAGCAAGAAACTTGCGTGTTGCTCTTTTAAATAATTTTATTATTACTTTACATTTTTAAGTTTAAGTGTGTGAATACAAACCATCAATATACAAATAATACATAATACATATAAATAAAATTGATATTTCATATGTATAAATGTGTATATGAGCATTGATATTTCATGGACAATTTTTTTTTATAATGTGGCATTAAAAATACATATAACCATCTCATTTTCACCCTTCTACCATCCACTATTTTAAATGCGATTTTAATTTACACGGCAAAATGTTTGAGAGGTCAGCTAGTATATCTATACATATAAATAAAATTGGAGAGTCTGTTTGTAATATTGAAATAACCGTTTTTTATTACATACATATGAATGTAAATACGGTACACACATCAAAATAACATTATTTACAATTTTTGTCTGTCTGTTTGTTCCGGCTAATCTCTGAAATGGCTGGACCGATTTTGACGAGACTTTTATTGGTAGATAGCTGATGTAATAAGGAGTAATTTAGGCTACTTTTATATTTGAAAAATAAAGTTAAAATCCACGGGGACGAAATCGCGTGTAGTAGTTGATAATATCGTTAAACGAGTTTTTTTTTTAAATAAAGATATTTTTGATGGATTATTTTGATACTGGATTATTTGCTACAGGGTAACTGGATGGCAGTATGTGCATGTCGGATAGTAATGGGACTGACTCAAGGTCTACTATATCCTTGTGTACATGGTTTCCTGGGACACTGGGCTCCTGAAGCTGAAAGGAGTCGACTGGGGACATTTGTTTATGCTGGTAAGGATACCTATATAATGATGAACTTAAGTAAAATTCTCAAAAATTCTCAGAATTTAGAAAGTTTCTAGAAAAATAAACAATATGTTTCTTTACCTTGTATGATTAATACCAGAAAAATATGGGCTTAAACTCAGTAGAGGATGTTTTATGAGTACTGAGATCAAATTCAAATTAAAAAAAAATATTTAAATTTTTCATTATCTGATAGTATATATATAAATATATCAGATATAGAAAAAAATTTTTTTTTTTATTTATACTTATTATTCTACGCGACTGAAATACACTATTCATTACTGAAATAAAATTATTTAAAATAAGGAGTTTGTTAATTTTAATTAGTCAAGTTACTCACTAACTTGTTAATTAGAACAAAGATTACTTAGTTACATTAGTAACACAAGCACGGCCGACAGTTGAGAATTAAATTTTGTTATAATTACGAAATGTAGATATTATTAAATCCAACAAAAGAACTCTTCAGCTGGAAGGTCCTTTTGTTAAATTAATTATTTTACTAGCCAATGATTTCATATGGGACCCATATCATTTAGGGAAGATAGAAATGAATGTGAATTACAGAAGCTTACAACTTTTCCTAATTAATAGGTATTTTTGAGAATAAAAATAGAATAGAATAATAATAATCTCAGGACAATTCACACACCAAGTTAAGCTAACTAAAGCCTGTATTATGGGTACTAGACAACTGATACAAATACATAGATAATTTTTCTACATATTATACATAGAAAATACTCAGACCGATACAAACAATCATATTCATGAATACAAATGTTTGTGCCGTGCGAGGAATCGAACCCGCGACCATCGGTGTACCACTCACTCAGAATGAGTGGTACAATAAAAAAATGTATTAATCAAAAGTGCTTATATTAAGTTTATTTGAATATATTAAATATTTATATATATAAAGATTATTTATATCTCTTAATAAAAAGGTATTTTGCAGCTAAAACGGATGACATGGATCGACTTAGTAACTCACGGAAACATTGTACAAATACTAACCTCTGGTGTTTTGAATCATTGAACGAAGCAATGAAATTTGAACCCAAAATATAGCGACTATTAAAAATATTATTGCAAGTCGTCGTCAGTATGTTTACGGGGACTTCGATTTATTGCCACAGACTTATATCAGCAGTTTTAGTTGTAGCATCTACACACGGCCAATCGGAGCAGAGAAAAATTAGTGCCAGATCGGAGCAGAGAAAACTCGCTTTGGTCCTGGATAGTTTCATTTTTTTCCGAACTATTCTAATGCTGTTGACCGTAGTTAGGCTTTGCAGCTGCAGCAAAAACGTCTTTTCCCGTCCCCCTAAATAGTCACATGGCAAAATCTGTGGCAAATCAGAGAGCAAAGAAGACAGACGCTTCCTTGATAGTTTCCCATTTTTTGTCGAACTATCCTAATGCTGTTGGCCACAGCTGGAATTTACAGCTTCAAACAGCTTGCAAACCCTCAGGACTTATGGAGTGGCTGAAGGCCAAGTCCTGTCTTACGGATACAACTTTAGTCTGATGCCACTACTAGGAGTTCGAATCTCTGCTCAATCCGACGTAATTTCTATATCCGTTTGACTTTTTGAATTCGGATAGATAAGAGGAGGTAGTTTCCTAGATCATCATCATTTTCAGTGTAGGCAAGTCATCGGGGAGAATAATTATGATTAGTATTTGTCTACAAGTTAAAAATCAAAGCCTAAATAATTGTAGAATATTGCTGTCTGTTATGCACGTCATTCATCTACTCCATATATCCCTACAGATCTGTTTGGATATTTTCATTAGTTGAGAAGAAGTGGCAAGAAACTCAACTAGTACATGGTAACGTCTCGAAATATCGAAACTGGTACAAAAACTCAGCATATAATTAATTATATGTTGAGTTTTTTGTACAATGTTCGAGAAACTCAGCATATGAATTAATATCGAGAGTTGAGTCTCTCGAAATTGATTCTCCGTACAGTTTCGGTATGGCCTTTATTAGATATTTTCATCAAACTGGTCAGAAACTCAACTAGTACACGGTAATGTCTCGAAATGTCGAAACTGGTACAAAAACTCAGCATATAAATCAAAATATGCTAAGTTTTGTGTAGTGTTCGAGAAACTCAGCATACGAGTCAATTTTGAGTGAATGAGCACAGGAGATATTCCAGAACGCTCCGTACAGTTTCAGTATAGCCTTCAATTTTAAGAACCATGTGTAAATGCTTTTATAGAACTTTTAAAATATCTCTGTACTTACCTCTATTTCAGTGAATAGATTTCGCAATTCTTGCTAAAGTTTTAATATAATAAAATCAAAGTTCAGTTAATGTTTCAACTGTCTTGGCGGGAGTTTTATGATTTACCGAAAGTTATTTTCACTTCCTTACTTTCGAGATGATATAACTTAGCAGATTTTATTATTTCGTTTCGTCGTAAGTTATTTTTATTCTTACCTGATAATAACTGAGACAAATGGAAGCATTATTTGTTAGTTTTTAAATTAGGAGGTCAGCGGTTGTGTTACTCTGTTTCACATGTCGATCGCAGGTTCGATGCCAAGGTCACCAACTTATGTTGTTTTTTTTATGTAAACGAAAATTAAACTAAGTGAACTGCTTTTAAATGGATGATAATGGAATTGTATTTCCGCCGTGTAGATGATATGACTAGATAAAGTTTAGTCAATTAATAGAAAATAACCATAATGGCTTCCAAAAGTTACGAGTGGTGATCTGACATTGTACGTTGCTAGCAATGGGTCATCATTCCTCTTAAACGTACCTATACTCCTAACCGTATAAAAGCCAGACAGATTTTATTTTAACTGAACCATTTTCAACAATAAATAAACCTATCAGGTGACGGCGCCATTTGTAAAATATATGTAAATTGTTCTGTATGATTAACTTTCCGTTGTTTGTATTAGTCTATTTTTTTTTAATGAACTTTGTTTTTGTATGGTATACACTGCATTTTTGTAAACATGTACAAGTTCATTTGAAGAGAATAAGAGCTGAGTCTCTTGTCAATTCTTCTTAGCTGGAAATCATTCCGAACTGATGGTAGATTTGACATATCACAAGAGTCTGTAATAAACCTACATAAAAGAAGATGATTTGTTTCACTATTATATTTTTACATTTATATTCATGTACTTACTGGTATATATGCGACGGTTATCACTTACCATCCGTTACCATCAGGTTAGCCGTAAGCTAGCCATTCAACTTGTCTGTCATTCCAATTATAAAAAATCAATTTTATTTCAGGCGCACAATTAGGAACAATAATTGAAATGATGACTTCAAGTCTTCTCTCGGCCAGTCGGTGGGGCTGGCCCTCGGTGTTCTACGTCGCTGGCATCTGCTGTATAATCTGGTCAGCAGCGTGGCTAGTGCTGGGAGCGTCCACACCTGGTACCAGCAGGTGGATATCGAAGGAAGAGAGAAAGTATATTGAGACGAATGCTGCTTCGAGTGATATTGAATCGAATAAGGTTTGTGTTTTGATTTATTAAAATTATTGTAAAAGTTTATTATTAAACTAGGTTTTGCTGGCGGCTTCGCTCACGTTAATTTATCCCTTTAGGGGTGGAATTTATTAAAATCCTTTCTTAGGGGATGGTTATGTCATAATAGCTTTATGCAAGCAAAGTCTCAGTCCGATCGGTTTAAAATTGACGAAGTTTCATTATAAACTTTCATCCCCTGTTTTATCCCCTTGGGGGTAGAATTAATCAAAATCTATTCTTAGCGGATGCCTACGTCATAACATCTACCTGCATGCCAAATTTCAGCCCGATCCGTCTAGTGGTTTGGGCTGTGCGTTGATAGATCACTATAGTACTACTACGGTAACCATTTACCATCAGATGAGCCGTATGCCACCGAAGTAGTATAAAAAGAAAATATTATTTGTATGTATTATATTATTGACTACCTGTACACGCGACTACGTCCGCGTGGAATTTAACTTTATTTTTCTAAAATAAAAGTAGCCAAAGTTACTCGTTATTACATCAGCTACCTGTCAAAAAAGTCCCATCAAAATCGGTATAGCCATTTCAGAGATTAGCCGCAATAAACAGACAGACAGACAAAAATTGTAAAAATATGTTATTTTATATATGCACCGTATTTATATTCATATGAATGTAGTAAAAAACGGTTATTTCAATATTACAAGCAGACACTCCAATTTTATTTATATATATAGATGTACGTGAAAGGTACTTAAGACTACGCCTAGCTGTAATTTTACAGCAATGTTATAGTGTTGGCTATTTGCAGTGAATAATCTTATCCACGGATCCCCAAGGGTGTACTTTGATTAGGGTAGTTAAATAAATTAAACTACGGAAACCTTTCCACAGTGGTTGTTATATTATATAATTAATAATTATTAAAAGACTATATATGTTCCAAAAAAAATCTAAATAGCGTGATGTAGAAAAAAGTATAAAAACTAAACAACGCCATCTAGTGGCACACTTGGGAACTAAAACAAACATGTAATCTCGTTCGATTGTACATTCTGCCCACCAAGGACAAATTGCATCTTGTCCTTTACAATTATCAACCTGCCCACCGTGATGTATTTTAATCAAATAAATATACTGTATCTACTTATTATTAACAAAAATAAAATATTACATTGAAAGGAGTACCTTATTCAAAGAAAATAATATAAACTAAACAAAAACCTGCCATTATTTGGCTATTGGTAAAATACACAATTTTGAAGTGGGCCTTTTAAGACATCCATTTTTAGTTTTTAATGTTACTACTCTAATTATATTATCTTGTCCTGGATGAATAGCAACTATCCTGCCATAAAGCCAACGAGATGGAGGTAAACCCTCTTCCTTTATAACTACTACATCCCCTAAATTTGGTTGCGGAGTTTGTGATGCCCATCTATAACGATGGAAAAATTTAATTAGGTATTCTTTAGACCACTGATGCCAAAAATCTTGCACTATCCTCTGTGTATATTGCCACCGCCTTAAAGAGCTCACATTGGATGACGTAAAATCATAATCAGGGGCTGTTCTCAACGGTTCTCCTATCAAGAAATGTCCTGGCGTCAATACATTTAAGCTATCAGGATCATCGTTGAGTACTGATTGAGGCCTTGAGTTTAAACAAGCCTCGATTTGAATGAGTACTGTAGCCATTTCTTCGTACGTTAACGTTGAATTGCCTATTATTCGTTTCAGGTGGTATTTCACTGATCGGATACCTCTTTCCCAAAGTCCTCCAAAATTAGGGGCGTGCGGAGGAATGAAACGCCATGTGCAACCAAGTATTGCCAGTGATTCTGCTACTTCGTCCATTACAGCTTTATTTTCTGCATGGAACAGTTTTTTAAGTTCAACGGCTGCACCAACGAAATTCGTGCCATTGTCACTCCAGAGTTCTGTGCAGGAACCACGCCTAGCCACAAATCGTTTATAAGCACTTAGAAATCCTTCCGATGTAAGGTCGCTCACAACCTCTATATGCACCGCACGAGTGACCATACAAACGAATAGGCATATATATCCCTTATAGGATCTGAAACCTCTGCCTTTAGTTGTTCTGATCTGAATGGGACCAGCATAATCTACTCCACTGTGCTTGAATGGACGTGTAGGAGTAACTCTACTTGATGGCAACTGTCCCATCAATTGACTTTGAGTTGTACCTGCGTTTTTTATGCATGTTACACATTTACGGCAGTATGATTTTACTAGCTGTTTCCCGCCCAATATCCAAAATTTTGACTGAAGATAGCTTAGAGTCAATTGCAGTCCACCATGTAAAGTTTGCATGTGTGCATCCGCTATCAAAAGTGTGGTTAACGAAGACTGTTTAGGGATCAATAGAGGGTGTTTCTGATTATAGGATAATTGGGAATGTTCTAATCTTCCACCTACTCTCAACAAGCCCTTTTGGTCTATGAACGGGTTCAATGGTTTCAGTGGACCCTTCAGTCTATTTGTCTTCATTGTACTATTAGTGTTACTAAAAACCTCTAGAAAATGTTCTCTCTGACACTGCCTTACGCACGTTTCCAGAGCATCACTCAATTCTTTCGCAGAGAGGTACTTACTACGAGACGTATCATTCCGTCCTTTTCTGATATTCAGAAAACGTCTGCAGTATGCAATTATCCTTACCAATCTGTTAAGCGAAGAATATTTATCCCATATAAAACAAGTTGTAACTGTAATATGAACTTTGGCTGTTTCTAGTTCTGTTTCGATATCTTTTGGTTTTACGTACAGTATTTCCTTATCATGCAAGAATCGTGGACCTTCAAACCACATTACATTATTTTTCAGTTCTGATGGATACAACCCTCTGGACGCATGGTCAGCGGGATTGCATTTAGTACCAACATGCGACCAATAATGACTATCTAAATTGGTCAGAATTTCAGACACACGATTTGCAACAAATACCTTCCAACGATTTGGATGACTATTAATCCATGCGAGCACTACTGTAGAGTCAGTCCACGCATGCAGGTAAGTCTTTTGGATGTTCAATACCTTTGCAGTTTCAATTAAAAGTTTAGTCAGTAATACTGCTCCACACAATTCCAATCTGGGAACCGACACTTGTTTGACCGGCGCCACTTTTGTTTTTGCAGAGATCAATGTGACTCGAACATTTCCCTCCAAATCAACTACGCGAGCATACACAACCGCCCCATAAGCCGATTGTGATGCGTCACAAAACCCATGCAACTCAACTTTAACATCACTTGCCTTGGTACCTATCCATCTCGGTATTTCAATTTCAGTTAAAATAGTTAGTTCATTTCGATATTTAATCCATTCTTGAAGTATTTTTTCAGGTACTATTTCATCCCAATCAATTCCTGTTAACCATAGTTTCTGTATAATAATTTTGAAAAGAATTGTGCATGGCGCTACCCATCCCAGAGGATCATAAAAACGTGATATATCAGAAATAATTTTTCTTTTAGTAATTGGTTCTTTCAGGTCTGGCAGCTTTACAGTATAGTGGAAGGCATCGCGTCTACGGTTCCAGGTAAGTCCTACAATTTTAATAATATCATCTGTCTTTATTTTTAATTCTTCTTTCAGATCATCTGTCTTTCTAGATTCCTTCATTTCTATTAACAACTCATTATCATTCGTAGTCCATTTTTGTAACTCAAATCCTCCTTTTATTAGTAAATCATTCATTTCTTTATATATTTTTATACCTTCAGCTTTATCTTGACAGCCCGTTAATAGATCGTCCATGTAAAAGTCAGTCCTTACCCTTCCAGCAGCTACTGGGTATCTATTTTCTTTATCCTCAGCTATTTGTTGCAGCGTTTTTATTGCCAGATAGGGTGCAGATGCTGTCCCAAAAGTAACACGAAGTAATCTATAATGTTTAATTTGATCTTCAATTTGCCATAATATACGCTGAAAATTAATATCTTGTTTATTAACACGAATTTGACGGTACATTTTGACTACATCAGCAGCTAAACAAATAGGCCAAGTTCTCCACCGTATCATAATATGTCTTAATTCAGACTGTAAAGCAGGTCCAACTAACATATAATCGTTCAGTGAACGTCCATTTGTTCCCTTACAGGAGGCGTCGAAGACCACCCGTACTTTCGTTGTATCTTTATCATTTTTTACTACAGCATGGTGAGGTAAGTAAATAGCATCAACACTCTCAATTTCATTTACAGGTACCTCCTCCATGTGACCAAGAGATAAGTATTCATTTATTACTTCTTCATAACTTTTTTTTAAATCTTCATTTTTATTTAATCTTATCATTAATAATTTTAATCTTTTTTCAGATATCTGCAGGGATCTACTCACCAACGGACTCTCCTTGAATGGAAGACGAACAACATATTTACCATCAATATCTCGATAAGTAGTATCAGTGTAATATTTTTCATACGTTTTTTCTTCATCGGTAAGTAATTTTTCCCTTGTCAATTCTGTATCTGATTCCAATTCCCAGAATTTCTTTAATATTTCATTTTCTTCTATTCTACAGTGCATAACCTTTATTTCAGGATGCGGGTTGGCAGACACTTGAAGTACTCCAGATAATATCCAGCCTAATCTAGTAGATTGTGCTACCAATGTCTCCGATGGACTCCTTTTTATTCCATCTTGTAATATACGACAATATACCTCCGCTCCCAATAATAAATCTATGCGATTGGGAGTATTATAACTTGGGTCCGCAAGAGTAACATTCTTGAGATCCTCCCATTCTAATGATTCCACTCTTTTTGTTGGTAGAATACTGGTAATACATTTCAAAACATATGCCTTTATAATAATAGTAAAATTAGTGTCAACTAGAGACTTCAGTTCTATGTTCACCATAGCTTTGGAGATGATATCCTTATCTCCACCCAATCCAGATATTTGCCCTCTGATCGGGATCTTTTTTAAACCCAAATATTGAACTATAGACTCCGTGACAAATGAAGATTGTGATCCTTGATCTATCAAAGCTCGTATAGTGTAACCCAGACCATTTCTCGACTTGGCTTCGACTAGCGCCGTAGCTAGTAAAACCTGATTACTAATTCGACCTGTCGAGAAACAACTTATAGACTGAGTTGGTTTATCTATTTCCACACCTGAGCTAGTAGACGGGACAACACACTCATTGGACGATGACCTTTCATCACTATTAACAACATCACTTTTACCCGTGGGGTGTAAAAGAGAGTGGTGTTTTCTTTTGCACACACGACATTTTATTGGAATAAAGCATGCTTTGGCAGAGTGGTTGCTACCCAAGCAATTAAAACAAAGATTATTTGTTTGTACAAATTGACGGCGATTATTAACATTTTCTTTAGCAAACTTTTTACAATAACAGAGTTTGTGACCTTCCATACAAAACTGACATTTAGCATTGGTGACATGAAATGATTTAGGCTTACTAATTTGAAACCCTTTGTTACTATTCTGAGACTTATTTATTACATTAGGTTTATTATCTAAAAATTCAATAGCACGATAGCGACTAGTCAAAAACTCTTTAAATTGTTCGTAAGACGGTAACTCATCAGACGACTTACTATTATTTGTAAAATTAAATTCCCATTGTCGCCTAGTTTCATAATCTAATTTTAAAGTTAAAATATGTATAACTAAAATATCCCATCCCTTGACATCAACACCAATATTACATAAAGTCGCCAAACAATCATTAGTTGTATCTATCAATTCCTTGATACCCGTAGCGGATTCACATGTTAAATTTCTCTGACTTAAAAACCTTTTCAATATATGATGACAGATGTATTTTTTATTATTATATCGTTCCTCTAATAAAGACCAACACCTTTCATAATTACTGCCCATAATAGGTATATGCTTTAAAATTTGTTCGGCTTCGCCTGTTAAATAGCCCTTCAGATAATGTAGTTTTTCGACATCATCCAAAGTTTGATTTTGGTGAATTAAGGATTTAAATAAATCGTGGAAGGCACTCCACTCCGAATATTGGCCTGAAAAGCCTTTTATATTTATTTTCGGCAATTTTACATGCGTAGAACCACTAGTAGAACCACGCGACTGTTCCGTATTAATATTTGACTGAGTGCTATTAAAAGTTGACAAAATTCTTTTTAAATCACCTTTAAAATTCAGATACATTTGTTCAGTTTCATCATAATAATCATTCGCTACATAACTAGAAGATCTCAATAATTTTGGCTCTACAGTGCGCATTATATCCTTATGACCATTTAAAAAATCAAACCAATACTGATCTAAACTTTCCAACCTTCCGTCTACATACTCCTTTGTTAGTCTTTCTTTCGGACATTTTTTAAAATTAACTTGTGCCTTTTTAATACGCGAATTAAGATCCTCTTGAAACATAACTAAAGATTCCATGTTTACACAGTAATAATATTATAAACAAATTTTTAATAGAATATTTTAAACAAAGTTCTATCTTTAGTAAACACACAAAATTTATTTCCTTATAATTTAAAAGTAAATTAATATTTATTGTAGTGACTAAAACTGCTATGTATAAAAATTTTTAAAATTATTCTAAGTGTTTAGAAAAGATTGCACCTCAAATAAAAATCGGGCATGGATTCCCCGTCTCTTCAATATTTGTAAAACTATTCTAAGTCCTAAAATTACTATTAACTACATACAATTAATTTTAAAATTTCTAAGTTATTATTTTCCTATATATAAAGTTCAATATTGCTTGTAATTTTCACTCTTCTATGAATAGTTTAATATCTTCTAAATTTTATTGAAATTCTAAGTTAAAATCTTCTAGTATTTAAGACTCAAAATCACTTGGCAAAACGAAATAACTATAAAATGTACTCACAGTTGTTTTCCCACTATTTCAACACAACACAAATTGATGTACTTGCCGCCACTGCTCGCTTTACACAATGAGACACAGTGTTGCCTCACTTCTCGCCTTCAGCTCTGCTTTACTCCTCTCCAGTCCTGTTGTCCTGACAGCACCTACACGCTGTCTGAAGCTCCGCCCTGCTGCTTCGCTTCTGCTTCGTAACTACGTTTGCAACAGCAATCCACTGTCCGTAGTTCTCATGTGCCAAAAAATGCACCACCACTAGGATGCCTGCCGAATCCGGCACTCGAAGGACCACAATGAATAATCTTATCCACGGATCCCCAAGGGTGTACTTTGATTAGGGTAGTTAAATAAATTAAACTACGGAAACCTTTCCACAGTGGTTGTTATATTATATAATTAATAATTATTAAAAGACTATATATGTTCCAAAAAAAATCTAAATAGCGTGATGTAGAAAAAAGTATAAAAACTAAACAACGCCATCTAGTGGCACACTTGGGAACTAAAACAAACATGTAATCTCGTTCGATTGTACAGCAGTAATTTTTTTATGATATATAGGTGAGGTGATACTAAATTGAACATCACAAATTTATTAAAACAACACTTTATATAGTTTTTCATAAATATATTAGTCATATGCGGTGTATATACTAGTGTATAACTAAGTAGGTCTTGAGTTCAAAATATTGTATAAAAAATACTTACGGATACAATCTATCTATCTAAATATATATAACTCAAAGGTGACTGACGTAGTGATCTATCAACGCACAGCCCAAACCACTGGACGGATCGGGCTGAAATTTGTCATGCAGGTAGTTGTTATGACGTAGGCATCCGCCAAGAATGGATTTTGATTAATTCTACCTCCAAAGGGATAAAATGGGGGATGAAAGTTTGTACGAAACTTTGTCAATTTTAAACCGATCAGGCTTAGACTTATGCATGCATAAAGGTTCTACAACTTTGACATCCCCTAAGAAAGGATTTTGATAAATTCCACCCTTAAGGGGATAAATTAACGCGAGCGGGCAAAAGCTAGTCGTATATATAACTAGCTGTTCAGGCAACCGTTGTTTTGCCATATAAATTAATAATGCGATAAAAAAATAGGGGTTGGTGATAGAAGAGTGAAAATTTAGGGTTGTATGTATTTTTAATGACACATAATAAAAAAATATAAATAAAAATGATCACTTAGGGGAATGAAAAATAGATAGTAGTCGATTCTCAGACTTACTGAATATGCATATAAAATTTCATAAGAATCGGTCAAGCCGTTTCAGAGAGTATGGTAGCTAACATTGTGGCACGAGAATTTTAGTTTGCCGGGACAGCTAGTATCGTTATAAAATTCACACAACGCCATCTAGTCCCAAGATATAATCCCCTGCTTGTGTTATAAATATACATAAAAAAACTCGGGTTTTTTTTCATAAATACATACATACAAAAACAGCACAGACACAGATCTAAACAAACAATTATACTCAGGAATACAAATGTTTGTACCGTGCGAGGAATCGAACTCGCGACGTTGTAAGTAAAGTAGTGTGCTTAACAACTAGGTCATCGAGGTTACTTATATATATCTACATATATATATGCAAGTACTGTTTATTTAACGAAGACCAATATAAACACAACTAACTCATAACTATTTTACGGAAGGAAACTGTGATATGTTTTTTTCCATGTATTTCCAGAAATTATCTACTCCATGGACGAGAATCTTGTCATCTTTACCGTTCTGGGCCATTCTGATCGCTCACTGCGGCCAGAGTTTAGGCTTTTGGACTCTCCTCACAGAACTGCCGTCGTATATGAGTAACGTCCTAAAAGTTAATATCAAAGATGTAAGTATCCTATATGAGTATTTTATAATAGTTACTTAAGATATTATACCGGTCGTTGGCACGAAACAAGAAAAAAAAGTCATTAATTAATTCTATGGTAATTGCGTAAGATTTTATAATAAACTGCGAGAGAGGCAATTCAAATCTTATATTAAACAATTTTTATGTAAGAAAGCCTATTACAGGATAGACGCATTCATAGATGACAACATATCAAGTAAATAATTAGTTTATTAGCATACAACGTTATAATTTATTTATTTCATTGCTTTCTTGATTTAATTATTTTAGAAATATGAAAACGTAGCGGTTTTTGTATTGATTGCCGCATGCATTCTTATGTAAAATGTGAATACTATAACTATCAGATGGCAATTGTAAGTAGCTTTGACGTGGTCTAGTGTTTTGAGTAGTCATGCTTACTAAAATGTCCAGACTTGTGGCGGCGTGGTCGGCCGGGTCATTGGGCTTCCTAAAATATGGTCGAGCGCAGTGATGGCTGGATCATCCGTCATACTCGTGAACGGGTGCTGCTTGTAGGGACTGGTCTGATCTAATCACTATGACTGATTTCCTCTTATTAATTGTTTAACCAGTTGTTGTGTATTCAATATTTTTTTTATGTGATTATTTAATTGAATTAGTGCTAATTGGTGGTTTGTATTCACACACTTAAACTTAAAAATGTAAAGTAATAATAAAATTATTTAAAAGAGCAACACGCAAGTTTCTTGCTCGTTCTTCTTGTGATGAGACAGCTTTCCAAATGAGCGATAGATTAAAAAAAATGTGATGACTATTCAAAAGTGCTTCAGTGTAAGTTTATTTGAATAAATGATTTTCTATTCTATTCTATTCTATCATATCCTGAGTATTTTATAACAGTTACTTTACGATATTATACCGGTCGTTGGCACGAAACAAGAAAAAAAAAGTCAGTAATTCATTCTATGGTAATTGCGTAAGATTTTATAATTAACTGCCAGAATGTGCACTAAATCTCTCAGAGAGGCAATTCAAATCTTATATTAAACAATTTTTGTGTAAGAAAGCCTATTACAGGATAGACGAATTCATAGATGTCAACATGTCAAGTAAATAATTAGTTTATTAGCATACAATGTTATAATTTATTTATCTCAATGCTTAATAATAAAATTATTTAAAAGAGCTACACACAAAGTTCTTGCTCGTTCTTCTTGTGATGAGACAAGTCACTATTCAAAAGTGCTTCAATGTAAGGTTATTTGAATAAATGATTTTCTATTCTATTCTAATGTATAGTAAATATACGTATATACTATACTGACCCGCGTAACATTTTCATTTCCCCGCCTTTTGCAATATTTTTCATTGCAGCTCCGCTCCTATTGGTCGTAGCGTAATGTTATATAGCTTGAAGCCTTCCTCGACAAATGGACTATCCAACACAAAAAAAATTTTTCAATTCGAACCAGTAGTTCCTAAGATTAGCGCGTTCAAACAAACTCGTCAGCTTTATAGTATTAGTAAGTATACTAGCTATACGCCCCGGCTTCGCACGGGTGTACATGTATTGTACATATAAACTTTCCTCTTGAATTACTCTGTCTATTAAAAAAATCTGCTTCAAAATCCGTTGCGTAGATTTAAAGATTTAAGCATACATAAGGACGGACAGACAGCGACAGCGACTTTATTTTATACTATGTAATGATAACTCACTTAACAATATGCTACGACTCTTTGGATTTTGGGATCTTTCTATATTTGATTATAAACCATTCTGTTGGTTCACATGATTGAAAGTGTCACTATCTACGTATTTATTATTGCAATTACATGAAACATAACTCGTTTTAATTTTCATTTCGTTAGAATTAATACAAAACGAAAACTGTATCAAACGCATATAATGCCTTAAGATATAGTTCCGATAAAAGTCGGACGGCCCGTGCAGACGATTATACGACCAACGATTCTGTCCTACTCAGCTAGAAATGATACGATAAAAGTTACAATGATACAATAAATGTAAATAAATGAAATAAATGAAATCCAGGAGTGTTTGAAATAGCCACTCAACGTAAACATATCCTCAGAACGGTTCTGAACTTCTGGGTGGAGCGCTTGGATGGCTTCAGTAGTCTAGGCTCTACATATCTACATACATAACGGCCCAAATGAGAGGTTAAATGCAGAAAATAGAGTCTAACATGCAATACAATACACCCATCCTTTTTGCAAATGACTCAGTGACTTCAGATACGTAATCAGCACGATCCGTCAGGACTGTACCCGATAATATGAACCCAGATTAACATGTAGAATAATAATAATAATAATAATAATAATAATTCACCGTCCTCATTATTCATCATTTATACTGTCATTGTTTGATGATTTTTACCCGCAATAATAAGTCTATTACCCCATCAAAGGGAGATATAATATATATATATATATATATATATATAAAGAAATAATAACAATAATCTCAGGACAATTCACACAGCGCCATCTAGACCCAAGTTAAGCTAGCTAAAGCTTGTGTTCTGGGTACTAGATAACTGATACAAATACATAGACATTTTTTATTGTAAATACATACATATTATACATAGAAAATACAGACCGATACAAACAATCATACTCATGAATAAAAATGTTTGTGCCGTGCGAGGAATCGAACTCGCGACCATTGGTCATAAAGCGGTGTGCTAGACCAGCGAGGTCGTTAAATTGTCGCTATATCTTTGTACGAGCGGGTAATTTAGTTTCACGTAATGATTGTTGTTTGTATGTATTGTTACAGAATGGACTATTGTCAGCGCTGCCATATTTAGCCATGTACCTTCTAAGTTTTGTATTCAGTTGGCTCGCTGATTTTCTTGTCAACAGAAATCTTATAAGAAAAGTTACTTCAAGGAAGATATTCAACACAATTGGTAAGAATTGTTATTTTATATTGTAAATTATTTTAGACCAATGTTTTCCAACGTGGCGAATTAGACCGAACCATAAAGCTCAGGATTAGCTCAGGTTGGATGAAGTGGCGGCAGGTTACGGCGACGACGTGCGACTCACGAGTTCCCCTTAAACTTAAGGGCAAAATTTACAAGACCATGATCCGGCCTGCTATTTTGTATGGATCAGAGTGCTGGTCCATAAAGGCGACGGATGAGAGACGGCTGCATGCAACTGAAATGCGAATGTTGAGATGGATGTGTGGTGTGACGAGGATAGACAAGATAAAGAATGAATACATCAGAGGAAGTATGAAAGTGGCACCGATGTCAGAGAGGTTAAAGAGTAATCGTCTATCGTGGTATGGGCATGTAATGCGTAGGAATGAAGATCATATCCTAAGGACGGTGTTACATATGAATGTGGATGGTTATAAGGGTAGAGGAAGACCGAAAAAGAGATGGATGGACTGTGTGAAAGATAATATGGTGAGAAAGGGAGTAAATAACGGAATGACTGCGAACAGAGATGAATGGAAGAGAAAAACATATTACGCCGACCCCAAATAAATGGGATAAGGAAGAAGCAGATGATGATGTTTTCCAACGTGAGCCCCATGTCCCAAAAGGCGTGAATGTTAAATATATGAAATTTGATTGTTAAGAACGGTAATAAGAAAATTAACTCGACATGATCATTCATTCGCTCCGGAACATTTAAATTGCGGTGCTAAATTTAACGAAAAAACCAAATACTGAAATATGTACTTTATCATTAAATAAAAACAATCTATTATTATAGAAAAAATCTTTATTAAAATTATTTCGTATTTTAATTTTATTTTTAATAACTTTTTGAAAATTTACTTTCTGTGTTTCGTTAACAATTTCCTAGTGATTTCTTCCTAACATCAATCAGTGTCTTAAGTGAATAATTAAATTTTTTAATCATATAATATTTATATGTTATACAGAGGGGCATAATAATTTTAGGAAGGCTAAGAGGGTAACCTCAAAAAAGGTTAGGAAACACTATCTAGAGTTTTAACATACTGACGGTTGCGAGTTTCTCTCAATCGTTGCGTAGAAATATTTGAATTTATATATTGATATGGGTTTGGATCTTCTTCTAATTACATATTCTTTATATTTATTAGACCTCCCTAATTTAGGTGACCTCTGTATAAGTTGTCCTAGAGTTATTTTTTTTCATACATATGTTCTACAGCTCTTGTCCTATTTTAGTACAAAATTAACTAACTTTTCCAGCGTTCTGGGGTCCAGCGGTAGCGTTATTAATACTATCGTACCTACCACCTGGACATCTGGCGCTGGCTGTGGTCATTCTAACATTCACCGTGGGTCTGAATGGAGCACATTATGTTGGATTCATGGTGAGTAGACATTTGTTTTTCGGACTACTCTACTGCTGGTACGTCTCCAGACGATAGGGGGCGAGTGCAGATGGCACTCCAAACCCGCGGAAGGACTTATGGAGTGGCTAAGGACCAACTCCCACCTGACGATATGACTTTAGTCCGAGGGCACCACTAGATCTTCGAACCTCGGCTCAGACCGTCCTAATTTCGATCTCCGTTTGAATGGATCCATTGGAGGGACGTTGACATATAAACGATGCCTCATATTATTCAGCTTCAGTCGAACGATTGTCATATGCGACTGGCATACGATTGGTGCATTTAGTCGAACGGCACGCCCTCTCTGGAAATACACCAATCGGAACAGAATACAGTCATCCGATTGAACCTAATGTGTGAATCCAGATTAATTGTTATAGTGCGATACGATAATGCTAAATAGAAATGCGTTCTGTTTTTTTTTTCTATTTTGGCGATAACCCTTCAACTGATATTACTTGAATATTAATTTTTAATGGAATAAACGTATGTTTACACAGTAACCACAAATTATGTTAATTACTTAGCTAAGCATCGAATCCATATGACTCCTATAGTAACTTTTTTGTTAGTAAACTGTTTGAAATTAAGCGAACTTTAAATTTCATATCAATCGTACTACAGGTTAGTGAAAAACTGTTGCCAAAATTAGCTGATGTTTCTGATAGATAAACAAACAAAAGTTTACCTCTATATTTATATGTATACATGTATATATAGTGTTTGAAATTTTCTAAACTAGAAGCAATTTATATGACAAAACAACGTACCGTGTCAACTAGAACTCGTATATTAAATATGAACAATAATTTGTTTGTTTGTTACCTTTTCCCGCTATAGTCATTCAGTTAATTATGATGAAATTTAGAATGTATGGACAAACAAGACATAAATATTTATATGCATACATAAATATTTATGACTTGCATGTGCAAACATCAGTTAAATACAATGTCCTCAATTACTAAATTAATTACTGTACATATGTATCGGCACTTATAAATTATAATTACTTGTAAAATCATTTTTAAACTAACCATTATAATAATAATAAATTAATTACTGTACTCGGTACTTATAAAATATAATTCTATTTTTAAACTAACCATTATAATAATAGACGGACTCGGTGGTCTAGTGGTTTAGCACACCGCTTTACATCTGATGGTCGCGGGTTCGATTCCTCACACAGTATAAACATTTGTATTCATGAGTATGATTGTTTGTAGTGGTATGGCTGTTTTTGTGCCCATAACCGAAACTTTACTTAACTTGAGACTAGATGGCGCTGTGTCCAAGAATATATATATATATATATATATATATATTGACCTCAGACTAAAATCGTATCCGTCAGGCGAGAGTTGGCCTTCAGCCGCTCCATATGTCCTTCCGCGGGTTTGGAGTGCCATCTGCACTCGTCCCCTATCGTCCGGTGAAGCTGTAAAGGCCAGCTGCGGCCAACAGCATTAGAGTAGTCCGAAAAAATATATATTTCAGGCTACGCATTCTCGCCCCTCTCTGTACAAAACGTGTCACTATGAAAATTTTCTACAACAAAAATTTGACGCAGTGGTCTAGTGGTTCAGCACACCGCTTTACGTCCAATGGTCGCGGATTCGATTCCTCGCACGGCACGAAATTTGTATTCATGAGTATGATTGTTTGTATCTGTCTGGGTGTTTTCTATGTATAACATGTATTTATTTACGAAAAAAATATTATTAAAAAAATATATATATGTATCAGTTGTCTAGTACCCATAACACAAGCTTTAGATAGCTTAACTTGGGACTAGATGGCGCTGTGGGAATTGTCCTGAGATTATTATTATTATTTACATGTACAATTAACAAAAGTCACGGGATATTTCAATAGGAGCAACAAACGAAGACGTGTGAAGGTAGAATACTGCCCTCTGCTCTTTAGTTTACCCGTGATGATGGTGGTTGAAACACTGCCGAAATAAAAAATGTAAAGTAAGAATAAAATTATTTAAAAGAGCAACACACAAGTTTTTGCTCGTTCTTCTTGTGATGAGACAGCTTACCGAACGAGTGGTAGATAAAAAACAAATTGTTATGACTATTCAAAAGTGCTTAAATTAAGTTTATTAGAATAAATGATTTTTTATTCTCTTCTATTCCATTCTATTGAGTAATAAACGAATTGTATTTAAAAACATAGGGAGGTGAATTAAATTGGAAATATTCATACGAAAATAGATGCAAACAGATCTATTTATTAAACTTAGTAGAATACTGCCCGTGAAAGACTATTTACCATCTACCCGCTGCTCTTTAGTTTACCCGTGATGATGGCGGTTGAAACACTGCCGAAATATCGGGAACTCAATAAAATTGTTTCTTACCCATAATACAAGCTTTGGTTAGATGGCACTATGGGAACTATCCTGCGATGTTATAATTTATTAAAAAAATCATTCACAATCATATAAAAAATCTTATATATAACTTGTTTAGGCTGTATATGGTTATTCCATTGCCATGTAGTTATAAAAAGAAAATATGTTTATTCTTGAATCAAATATGGTGTGAAATACACAGTACTTATTTAACTTTAAGGAATTTAACTTTATTTTTCTAAAATAAAAGTACCCTAAGTTACTCCATATTACATCAGCTACCTGTCAAAAAATGTCCCGTCAAAATCGGCCCAGACATTTCAGAGATCTCAGATTTAGCCAGAACAAACAGACAGACACACAGATAAAATTTGAAAAAATGTTATGTTGGTGCATGTACCCTATTTATATTCATGTGCATGTAGTAAAACGGTTATTTCAATATTACAAACAGACACTCCAATTATTTATATGTATAGATTGAGTAATAAACGAAGTCACATGGCGGTAAATTAAATTAGAAATATTTATACGAAAATAGATACGAACAGATCTATTTATTAAACTTGTCAAACTTCCTAATCAGCTATTATTGTTTACGGAAACAATCCCGTGAACTAATTGATAAATCTAAAAAGTTGTACAATCTGAATGCAAGTAAAAAGATTACGGATGTCCGTTCTATAAATATGTTAAGTATTTATAATTAGCTGTGCTCGCGACTTCCCAATAAAGAAATAATAGTTAATAATCTAACCCAAAAACTTACAAATTTTTTCTCCTTTTTTATTGATCCAAATAAAGAAATAATAGTTAATAATCTAAAGAAAAAACTTACTGTTCCCCTCAATATATGTATGAAAAACTTAAATTTATTTCTAAAAAATATCCATTTTAATACAATAAAAATAAATTTATTTATTTATCATTCAAAAAATATCTTTCAAAACATTGTATACAGTTTTTATAATATAATAATATAATTAAGGAAGGCAAATTTAAGTAGTTCGGTACAGAACTGGATTATAATAAACACTATGTATGACTACAATGTATGGACTTAATTAAATTATATAGACGCATATAATATACGACATGGATAGATAGTAATAAGATAAAGGTTATATAATAATGAATATTGTAAATTAAATAATGTAAATTTAATATTGATATATAACTACGTAGCCTATGTAAATAATATAATTGACGTATGTTAACAGTCATTTTATTTATATTCAAAGTTGAAGCTCTCTCAAATAATTGAGTACAATGATTAAATATCAATCGTGAACGGGTGCTGCTTGTGGGGACTGGTCTGTTCAGGTTGTGAACACTGATAAAATTTTTTGTTCTTTACGATAGCATATGCTGGTGGTCACTCTATTCTCCCAAATTTGAATTTTAATGACTGTATATTATTATAAACATGTTCCACTATTATTTGAAAAAAATACGAGCTGAGTTTCTTGTCAGTTCTTCTCATCTCGATATCATTCCGAATTGACGGTAGATTTGACATATCATAAGAGTCTGTAATAGACCTACATGAATAAAGATATTTTGAATTTGAACTTAGGTTTTTGAGGGTAAGCAGCGCCCGTGAATTACCCTTTTAGAATGCATTAACACTCACCTTCACTACTTGCAGCTTCCCCCCAGGCCCAACTAAGACCGGGATAAATCCATTCCCAATACAATTCACTTTAGTATCCAAAACACAACCGGCACGCTCTGCGCTCGTCGACAGAATGCCGCGGCTCACCCAACGAAAGAAGATTATTCAACTACCGACCTCCGTATTTATAGACCGAAATCAGTGTAGTTGATCGGTCTATAAATACTAGATGGCGCTATTTACAATATTTGTAATAATCCTTACATTGGGTACCTCATTAGTACTAAACACAAACTACCATCTTTTAATATATTTTAAAATATCGGATTTTTTCTACAATATTGATTCATTAGTAGGTTTTATAATTAAGTAACATTTTTACAAACTTTGGATGACATATTAATTTATGTTTATACTGAAATACAGGTTCCTAGCTTTAAAAAATAAGATAATTCCATACATCCTTTCATCATCCATTTCAACCCCTTATTTGCATTAAAAAGTAGCATATATCCTTTCTCGAGGTTTAGGCTATCTGTGTACCAAATTTCAGTTAAATCAGTTCAGTAGTTTTAGCGTGAAAGCGAAACAGACAGACAGACAGAGTAACTTTCGCATTTACAATAATAATCTCAGGACAATTCACACAGCGCCATCCAGCCCCAGGTTAAGCTAGCTAAAGCTTGTGTTATGGGTACTAGACAACTGATACTAATACATTTTATTTTTCGTAAATACATACACAGTATATATAGAAAACACCCAGACCGATACATACAATCCTACTCATGAATATATAATAATAGATTATGCCGTGCGAGGAATCGAACCCGCTACCATCGGACGTAAAGCGGTCTGCTAGACCGCTGTTTTCAGTATTATAAGAGTAAGGATAATAGAAATGTAATATTTTGATAAAATATCAACTTATTTTACAAAAATACAAGTTATATAATAATAATAATAATCTCAGACAATTCACACAGCGTCATCTAGAGTTAAGCTAGTCATATATAATATTTTATTTTTTTTTTGATGACCATTCTAGACCACCGAGGTCGTCATATATAATATTTTATTTGATGAATTCGAACTGAACTTAGTTCAATTCAAAAGTTTCTTACGACATGAGTGTTTAATATATTTGTTTTCGTTTCAGCTATCCCATTTGGATTTATCACCTAACTTCGCCAGTACCCTGATGGGTATAACGAATGCTGTGGCTGGTATATTCTCAATCATGGCTCCTCTGAGCGTATCAGTCGTAGTACAAGATCAGGTATGAAAATGTTATAATAAAAAACTTACCTTTTACCATCGCACCGCTCGCCATCAAATTCATCCCCACAGGCTGGAACCTAAGTAGCCTCAGACAGTACTGTTTCAGAGGAGCTTCCTCCTGCGTACACTTAAATTGTGGAAGGAATTACCTGCCAAGGTTTTCTCGAGAGACTATAGCATGGGGTTTTTCAAGAAGGGTATATTAAGGTTTCTTAAGGGTGGGCAATGAGCACGTGATGTTTCAGCCCCTGGTGTTTCAGGCGTCCATAGGCTACGGTAACCGTTTACCATCAGATGGGCCGTATGCATGTTTGCCACCTATGTGGTATAAAAAAAACAATCATTCATAGGTACAAGGGAATATGAACAGGAATTTAATGAACTTACTATTTTTCGTCTTTCGTGACAGTTGTTTCAACTACCTACATCTAAAAATCTTCTTAAATTTTTGTAAATTCTTACTAGTTTTCAAAATAATAATAATAATAATTTTATTTCATCAAATTATTATTAACTAGCTGTACACGTGACTTTGTACGCGTGGCATTTGAAAAACATAATTAGTGATTTTCCTAAAATAAAAGTAGCCTAAGTTACTCCTTATTACGTCAGCTACCTGTCATAAAAGTTCCGTCAAAATCTGTTCAGCCATTTCAAAGATTAGCCGGAATAAACAGAAAGACAGACAGATATACAAAAATTGTAGAAAATGTTATTTTGGTGTATATACTGTATTTATATTCATATGCATGTAGTAAAGAACGGTTATTTCAATATTACAAACAACTTTATTTATATGTATAGATAAAAAAGAATTTTCAAAAAAATTTAGGTAACAAAAATCCCGAAAACAATTCAGGTAATAATAATAATTAAAAAAACAAACTTCTTAGCATTCCATGGATGGCAGAAAAGGAAACTCCGAGCAGTTCCCGGAATATCATGATATCCTGTAATTTTGTTAAACATAACAAAAATATTTTGTTGTTAGCACGTCGATATATGTATTCGTATATTAGCTTTTGCCCGCGGCTTCACTCGCTTTAAATTATCTCCTTAGGGGTGGAATTTACCAAAATCCTTTCTTAGGGGATGCCTACGTCATAGTAGCTTTATACATGCAAAGTCTCATTCCGATCAGTTTAAAATTGTCAAAGTTTCATACAAACTTTCATCCCCTATTTTATTCCTTTGGGTATAGAATTAATCAAAATCCTTTAATAGGGGATGCCTACGTCATAACATCTACCTGCATACCAAATTTCAGCCCGATCCGTCCAGTGGTTTGGGCTGTGCGTTGTTAGATCACTATGTCAGTCAGTTTTTGAATTATGAGTTATGTGTATTTAGATTTTTAACGCGTTTCATGTTGTTGTTTATTCACAGACAGAAGCCTCGGAATGGCGGAAGGTCTTCTTCATTTCAATAGCGATGTACTTCCTCGGTAACCTATTCTACATACTGTTCATTGCTGGTGAGACGCAGGAATGGAATGAGCCAGTGCAGGACAATGATGAAGGTGAGCTCACTACCTACATGGAGTTACAACTTAACAAATAATCTGAACGACCTCGGTGGTATAGCGGTTTAGCTCACCGCTTTACATCCGATGGTCGTGGGTTCGATTCCTCGCACTGTACAAACATTTGTATTCATAAGTTTCATAAATATTTGTACCGTGCAAGCAATGGAACCCACGACCATCGGAAGTAAAGCGCTGTGCTTAACTACTACACCACCGTGGCCGATATTTTTGAATCAATCCTTTGTACAGACTTGATTACACGGAACTGTTTACAATGTGTAAATGAACCAATATATTTTTTAATTATTTATTTATAATTGCACATGCATCATTATGATTACATAGTATAAAACAAAGTCGCTGTCGCTGTCTGTCCGTCCCTATGTATGCTTAAATCTTTAATGCTACGCAACGGATTTTGAATCGCTTTATTTAATAGATAGAGTGATTCAAGAGGAAGGTTTATATATATAATACACTAGCTTTCCGCTCGCGGCTTCACCTGCGTGGACTATAGGTTATCGCGCGATTAAAGATACGTGCTCAGTAGTAAGATGTTATACATATTAAATCTGCTTCTTGAGACACTGTGTCTATTCTCTCTATTTAAAAAAACGTATTAAAATCCGCGTAGTTTTTTAAGATCAAAACATACATAGGTACAGACAGACAACGGAAAGCTTTGTTTTTTTTTTCGGACTACTCTAATGCTGTTGGCCGCAGCTGGCCTTTACAGCTTAACCGGACGTTAGGGGGCGAGTGCAGATGGCACTCTAAACCGGCAGATGGACATATGGAGAGGCTGCAGCCCAGCGCCCACCTGACGGATACGACTTTAGTCTGAGTGCACCACTAGGGGTTCGAGCCTCGGCTCAGGCCGTCGTAATTTCGATCCCCGTTTGAATTGGACGGGGGATCGATCGGAGGGGCGCGCGGTGTGGGGAGTCCGAGCGCGCGCAGGCGCCCTGTTGAATGCGCGATATTGTGTTTGAGGTCGTCGTCTTCGCCGGCGAGGACGGTGTCGTGTGTGTATGTAAAAGTGTGGTCGGGGTGGAACGGGTGGGCCCGTGGGGAGGTTACCTGCCGTTATAGGGTCGTCGGGGTCAATGAGAACGTGCCTCGGGCGACGTTGTTGCGTATGTCGGATATACAACGGAAAGCGAAATTCTTTTTTACTTTATAGCAGCTTGCCGAGGCTTCTCACAGGTATTTAACAAAAATGTCGAAATCTGTAAATTTTAACACACACATATACTCTTTTTTGCGTCGGGTTTCATACATATTTTTATTGGTTTGTTTGGGCTACTGTCAGATGTTTGTAGCACCTGTAGCACTGCGACCTGCATAGATCTATTGTGCTCGCCCTTTTTCATATATAATACATGTACACCCGTGCGAAGACGGGGCGAGTAGTTACTCATCAATATTTCACACAACTGTGTACTTGCCTGAACGAATTTTCCACAAAGAGCGAACGACATTTTATCCAATTAATGAATCTCATTTGTAACCGCCACTGACCACTAATGATGGCCTTAATGATAGGGGATGCTGAGTTCGAGTCCGTCCCCAAGGATACAAACATCTTATTTGCTCCAAGAGTAATGTTTTGGTAGCTAATCGTGGTATTTACGGTAACGTAATCAGTAACTGAATAAATGAACTGTCAACCTATTTCAAAAGGGAAGGAATTATAGCGTAGTTGCGTTTATTTTTTTTTTGTTTCTCCGTATTGTGATCAATAGTTATATTTAAACTTTCGCGTTTTGTACACGTTAATATTACATTTAAATAGGCTTTGGCATGAATAATTTTATGGTATTAATTAATACCTCTAGACCAAAAAGAAAGTTCCCAAACTTTTTTGTGTCATAGACGCCTTGCCATATTTTTCGGGTTTGGATAGACCCCCCATTCTTACCTTGTATTGATTTTTTGTAAATTTCTAAGTGTAGTAAAGTTTAGGGTTAAAAATATAAAGTAAAAACAACAAGTTGGAGTTTGTCATAGACCCCCTTTATTTTTAAGTCTATGGTAATACTATATAGACCACTTTCTAGTCATCTATAATACGATATTATTAATAAATAAGAAAACTGAAGCACAACGGTAATGAAGCAAAGAATAATAAATATAACAATGATTGTTACTAGCAGTTCGTCTACCATTCCTTTTAATAAACTTTTTTTTTTTTATAATCTCAGGACAATTCACACAGCGCCATCTAGACCCAAGTTAAGCTAACTAAAGCTTGTGTTATGGGTACTAGACAACTGATACAAATACATAGATATATTTTTTTTGACGTAAATACATACATATTATACATAGAAAATACCCAGACCGATACAAACAATCATACTCATGAATACAAATGTTTGTGCCGTGCGAGGAATCGAACCCGCGACCATCGGACGTAAAGCGGTATGCTAGACCGATAGACCACCGAGGCCGTCTTCTCTATATTTATAAAAAAATAGATATCCAAAATATATCGTATATTTTGGATATCTATTTTTTATATGTCACTTTTGACTACTTAATTGTTTAGTTACTTTCCTTCGCTGTGAGCCCTTTTGGGAAGAATACACATTTTTACTAGTATTTGGTTTTTATTAAAATAGTAGTTGTGTTCTCGCTCCAGTAACAATGATAATGATAACAAAGAAAAATAGTGTTAAAATAAGATTTCATATAATTGTATATGCAGTGTAAGAATTCATAATGTGTATTGTTACATTATGAATTCTTACATTGCACAATGTAATGAAAACTGTGAAATTAGTAGTAGTGTAAGATTTATATAATTGTATATGCATATTGGTAAATCTAATCCTCCAAATAAAGATGGGTGACACTGCATGTTGTCAACTCACCCGGCCGGCCAGCGGTGGTTCTGGGCCAGACGGATAAGGTCTGCCTCGGTGTCACTGTTAGGCAAATTGTAACATCTCGGCTGGAGTTGTACAAAAGTGGAAATTAAATAAATATTATAATATTAAAGTAAATTAAAAAAGGCACGGGCGAATATAACGGTGGAATAATGTAAAAAAAAAAAATGATAACGTAGTAGTGAATATGAAATAAAACCTAGTCTTTACAAATCCCCAGTTTAAATATCCGTTGTTTTTATTCTCAAAATTATACATATTTATTATAATTCTCTCTTATCATTACATAGTATAAATACAAAGTCGCTGTCGCTGTCTGTCCGTCTCTATGTATGCTTAAATCTTTAAAACTACGCAACGGATTCTGAAGCGGTTTTTTTTAATAGATAGAGTGATTCAAGAGGAAGGTTTATATATAATATATATGTACACCCATGCAAAGCCTGGGCGAATAGCTAGTTATCTATAATGAGATATTATTAATAAATAAGAAAACTGATGCATAACGTTAATGAATCAAAGAATAATAGATAGAGTGATTCAAGTGGAAGGTTTATATAATAATATTTAAAGGGTATATATATTATACATGTACACCTATGCGAAGCCAGGGCGAGTAGCTAGTCGACTATAATGAGATATTATTAATAAATAATAAAATTGATGAATAAATATAATGAAGTAAAGAAGGTCTAGAAAGGTAAAGGGTCTAGGTAGCGAACTCTGAAAAGGGCGAGCACAATAGATCTATGCAGGTCGCAGTGCTACAGGTGCTACACATCTGACAATAGCCCAAACAACCCAATAAAAAAAAAAAGTAAAGAATAATAAATATAATAATGATAATGAAGAAGTGATTATGGAATAAAACATAGACTTTACAAATCCCCAATCTAAATATCTGTTGTTTTCAAAACAAGTCTCTAATCAGTGGTAATATTTGCAATACAATCAAGGTTTATATCAATACTTTGTTACAGAGCCTTCGACGTAACGATACTTGTTACGAATTGAGTTTAATTTTCAAATTAAAGTAAACAAAAACCGCTACAAACCTAAGTACTTAGTATTCTATGAAAGATCTGAACGGTTTTTTTTCACGGTTGATAATGGAATGGTGCACCCGCCTGCGCTAACGGTTTATGCTGGCGGGGCACCTTTGGAGGATGATAAGATGAATATGAGGTCAGGTCAGTTAGCCCATCGTGAGAAATTCACCAGGAATTTATCACGATGGTTTACAGGGGGAACCGCGTGGAGGTCAACCTGACAATGCAATGAGATCATCAGTTCACATTACTAACGATCCCCTTTCCCCCCAGATCTGAATGGTTAACCTATAGATATCCTAGCTGAACCGGCAGGTTGTATGTTTTATAAATTGAAATTGGTATTAAAAATAACTGGTTAGTGATAGAAGAGTGAAAATTTAGGGTTGTATATATTTTTCAATGTGAAATAATAAAAAAAAAAATGGTAGAAAAATTAAAAACAAAATTTATGGGGTGAGCTACCCTTAACACTTAGTCAAGGGTAGTTTATAAAAATTAGTTATAAACCTATTCTCAAACCTACTTTTTGGAGAAGTATAGACACGAAATCTGTGACACGAGAATTTTATATAATACACTACTAGCTGCACCAGCGACTTCGCCCGTGTGAAATATAACTTTATTTTTCTAAAATAAAAGTAGCCTAAGTAGACTTTAGTCTGAGACACCACTTGGGTTCGAACCTCGGCTCAGGCCGTCGTAATTTCCCGTTTGAATTGGACACGATACAAGCAGACAACTGATTTTCGTTGTCTACCCGCTTTCTTAATAGTTTACTACGCATTACTTATACAGTTGTTTTGTTCACAGAGATTGCAAAGAAGAACGAGGAAGAAAAAGTTTCCAAATTCTGAAATAGCATCCGTCAAGATAAATTAAATTATCTTTACTTTTGACGAAAGTAAATAGAAAACCTTACAAATATTTTCAACTTGTAATTGCAATTTGTGATAAATTAAAAAAGACATATTAGGTAGGTATTTAATTGAAAACTACAAGAATATTTTTAAAAATTGTTTTTCAATTTGTATTGTACATCATTACAGTAACTATTGTCTATATATATGTACATTAGCCTACATATATATCATTAGCAATTACCAGTACATTTGTCCATTGTCCAATATATATAAATTTCTCCCTATAATATTAGTTATCTGCGAGTGAAAGTCCTGACAAAATCAGTCCAGCTGTTTCATAGATTAGCAAGAACAAACAGACAGACAGATTTTTGTATCATATATATACATATATACGTTACTTTTATATGTATGTCAGTGAAAAGATGATAATTTGAAATTAACAAGCAAAAAGTTCATTTTATTTATTTGTATCATTACGTAGTATAAAACAAAGTCACTATCGCTGTCTGTCCCTATATACGCTTAAATCTTTAAAACTACGCAACGGGGTGGGTAGCTAGTATATAAAAAAACACGCCAAAAAGCGTAATGGTACAGCAAAAGCTGAAAAATTAAGGATAACAGTGATAAAATAACACCTCTATGAATAAAGGAGATAGAGATACTCGTACCCACGCTGACGACTTTGAACAACTTCTTCAGTAAAGATTCCTAAATTACTAGTACCTGTTAAAAATTACAAAATTTACTTAAAAACTAGCTATATTCCGCAGCTTTGATTACTTTAATTAAGATAAAATACGTATATGTTAATCTAGATATGTCTGTACTAAACTTGACTCATATCTGTCTGTCAACATTTAAGCATGATTGAGTAAGAATCAATCTAATATTGTTAGATTAATATTAGTCAAATCAATATCAAATCAAATCAAAACATCTTCATTCATATCTATAGCAGACATTTATGATAAGTGTAATCTACCAGTTCGGTATGATATCTTAGTTTACACACGACAACAAAATCGGGGACAATATCGTAACAGGGGTTGGTGGTAAAATTGGCACGAAGGGTGCATTATTTGTTTATTTATTTACATCATATTACGTGAGATTTACACACGGGCCACTGTCTTTCAAACAAAACCTTATACACAGTAGGTGGTACAGATAGTCATCTTTGCCGGGGCTACTTTGAAGCCGAAGAAACGGCCGCTCACAATCTTGGAGTGTTTGCAGTGGCCGCCACAATAGGTGCTGCAGATAGTCTCCTTTGTCGGAACTGCTTTGAAACTGAAGAAACGGCCGCTCACGTAATCTTGGAGTGCTTGAAGTGGCCACCACAATAGGTGCTGCAGATACTCTCCTTTATCGGAACTGCTTTGAAACTGAAGAAACGGCCGCTCACGTAATCCTGGAGTGCTTGAAGTGGCCACCACAATAGGAGCTACAGACAGTCCCCTTGGTCGGAACTGTTTTGAAGTCGATGAAACAGCCGCTCGCGTAATCCTGTAGTGCTTGCAGTGGCCACCGCAATAAGTGCTACAGACAGTCTCCTTTGTCGAGACTGCTTTGAAACCGAAGAAATGGCCGCTCACGTGGTCCTGGAGTTCTGGCAGTGGCCACACAACGCACACAAATCCTCGGAACGGCGAGGTCGCTCCGTGAAGCCTGTGAAGGCAACAGGAGGCCTCTACAGTTCTGGGAGGAACTGGCTACTATAGTCTGGGCTCAACATGATCGGCAAAATAAGAGGTTAAGTGCTGATAACAGATCCCAACATCCAATACAATGCGAGATTTACAGTTTTCCAATATGGCCACTTTTATATTAAATACATGTATACACAATAACATACCGTTCTATACAATGCTTTACAGTTTTCCAATATGCCCATTGACGTATTACATACATATGTATAGACATTAATTAAAAAAAAAACAAAGTTAAACTTACATACTATCTAAATTATTGATTGAAATAGAAATAATCTTTATTCAAATAAACTCATTACAAGCACTTTAGAATAGTCATTTGATTCTACCACTTATTCGGAATGCAGAATCATCACAAGAAACTTGTGTGTTGCTTTTTTGAATAGATGTTTTTTTATATAATAATTACAGTATCACAAGTAAGAGGCATGCGATAATCAACATAGAAATCGCTACGCACTCATTATTAGTGTAATCAGATAATATTGTTAGTGCTATGGATTTTAAGTTTTTCTATAAAAACATTATTATTGATAACCAATTCTTCAATTTTATAGTAAGCTTTTTTGAAAAATTAATGCTATACCACATCAAATTACATGTAAATATGTGTAGGTCTGCAAATCGACTAACTACATCGTTGAGTTAACTTAATGTAAAGTAAATCCAAGTTTTTTATTATAAATGAGTTTAGCGTTTGGTCTTGTGATGGAAAATGATGCGAAGACCTAAGATGTACCGCGTTTTTGTTCTAGAATAAAGGATATTGTAGTTTAGCGCAAGCTGGAAGTGTAGTTGGTAGTTGCATTCTTTAAAGTAATAATAATAATCATCTCAGGACAATTCACACAGCGCCATCTAGACCCAAGTTAAGCTAGATAAAGCTTGTGTTATGGGTACTAGATAACTGATACATATACATAAATATTTTTTCTGTAAATACATACATATTATACATAGAAAACACCCAGACCGATACAATCGTACTCATGAATACAAATGTTTGTGTCGTGCGAGGAATCGAACCCGCGACCATCAGTCGTAAAGCGATGTGCTAGACCGCTAGACCACCAAAAGTACATTCAATTATGTAAAATGAGTTCCAATTTCACTACACACGAGTCGGTCTAGAGCGTTCACGAGTGCTCCGATATTGTCCCTTACTTTAGTACCGTGTGTAGACCGTTTAATCCGCAAAGATACTCTGTTTTAACTTTACAAACGAAATTGTACACTATTACATAACACATATGATTGTTTTTTGTATGAAAGTAGGATAGAAACAAATAGTTTGGTGTCTACACACAGTCGACCAAACCAAAGATGTGTGATATTTGTAATAATAAATCGAAAGTGCCTTATTTATTTTGTAATTAATTTTTAAATTATGTACATAGATTGTTTAATAGAAATTAAATTGTATTTAATAATTATAATTATGGATTTTATTTCAAAAATTCGGCCATTGCGATCGTCTTCAATTTTTTCGGACTACTCTAATGCTGTTGGCCGCAGCTGGCCTTTACAGCTTCACCGGACGATAGGGGGCGAGTGCAGATGGCACTCCAAACCTGCGGAAGGACTTATGGAGCGGCTGAAGACCAAATCCCGCCTATCGTCTTCCCTGAGGGGAAGATGATTGTTGGTTGTCTGTATTAACTAGTGATGTACCAAGTCACATGGTCCCGCCTGGAAATAATCTTGTTAAACTCATGGATAATTTGCCACAATGGACTACCTGATCTTCTGACCTGTGTACATTTATTTGTATCGGTCTGGATGTTTTTATGTATAAGATGAGTAATCTCTGTGCTGAGTATCTGGTGCCCCTCCAGCGTATACCGTTAGCACAGGTGAGTGCACTATTACATTATTATCAATTGAATAAAAAAATATCATGCAGTAAAAAAAACATTCCTTCATTCATATACATAAAATACAGACCGATACAAACAATTGTATCTACTAATGAATACAAATGTTTGCGTTGTTCGGAATTTAAGCCGCGACTCTCAAGAGCACGGCAATGTGCCAAACCTCTGAACCATCGAGGCCGTAAGAACGTTATCAACTTATTCCAAAGACAAGACGTATCCGTCTTTTTGGTTCTCGTAAAATATTCACAAAAGCAAATCATGTAATAGTATATTTTGTTGATAAAATCCGAGTTTTTTTCCCAAAAACCGGCTATTAATATTCAAGGGTCGCCCCCGCAATGGAGGTTCAAGTGTTCCTCGCTCCAATTTTCCTCGACAATTTTTCCGTTGGCAAATTACGTGCGAGGAGGCGTTCGATTTTATGTTTTTCAATCTCAATTCGTTTCAAAGTTCGAAGACGGTGGAGGCAAGCTGACAACTTGATAACTATTTCGTTATATCGATGTAAAAAACAGTTAACATTCATTCAGGAAAGGGGATCATTAATAATGTGGACTAATAGCCCCATTGGTAGCAATATATATGTAATATTATGTTATCTGTGCTAGTAGTAACTAGTACCTTGTCATGTTGAAAAAGTTAATAGGTCTTTTATGGGAATAGGTATAAAAATTTACAATAAGATACTAAAGGATATGTTGGAATTACCCTTAAATAAATTCAAAACATTTACTGAGCAAAGCCTATTACTCACTAAACGATTACTTGAATGACGAGTGTGCATGGCAATAGTTGTTCATGCACTGAATTTTCATTTAATGTTAGACATAGACACCTATATAAATATACATTGTAAATAAACTGGCTTTAAAAAAAAGTAATTCCATTGAGTTTCTTGCCAGTTCTTCTCAATTGGATCTGTATACCGAACTGGACGGTAGGGAAAAAAAATAAAATTATAATGTAAAAATTTGACGTTTATAAGCGGCTAAATTGTCCTACATGAATAAATGATTTTTGAATTTGAATTTGACACGCAGTTTTTCTGGAAACCATCGTGATAAATTACTAGTGAATTTGCCATGTGGGGAATACTGACCTGGCCTTTTGTTCATCTTATCATCCTAGGCTGCTTCTCCGCCAGCTTAAACCGTTAGACGTAAGCGTAGACAGTTCACCACTCCAAGATGAACAAAATTCATCTTATCATCCTAGGCTGCTACTCCGCCATCTTAAACCGTTAGATGTAAGCGTAGACAGTTCACCACTCCAAGATGAACAAAATTCATCTTATCATTAGGCTACTTCTCAGCTTAAACCGTTAGATGTAAGCGTAGACAGTTCACCACTCCAAGATGAACAAATTTCATCTTATCATCCTAGGCTGCTTCTCCGCCAGCTTAAACCGTTAGATGTAAGCGTAGACAGTTCACCACTCCAAGATGAACAAAATTCATCTTATCATCCTAGGCTGCTACTCCGCCACCTTAAACCGTTAGATGTAAGCGTAGACAGTTCACCACTCCAAGATGAACAAAATTCATCTTATCATCCTAGGCTGCTTCTCCGCCAGCTTAAACCGTTAGATGTAAGCGTAGAGAGTTCACCACTCCAAGATGAACAAAATTCATCTTATCATCCTAGGCTGCTTCTCCGCCAGCTTAAACCGTTAGATGTAAGCGTAGACAGTTCACCACTCCAAGATGAACAAAATTCATCTTATCACCCTAGGCTGCTTCTCCGCCAGCTTAAGCCGTTAGAT